TTTTTTTTTCCAAACCAGGAATGTACTAGTTTTTTCCTCTCTTTAGAGGTGTGTTGGAGGGGTGGGGAGGGTGGGGGGGGAGGCGAGGGGAATGTGGAAGAAAAGGGAGCGGGGCTCAGGGGTCGCTGTGATGAGTAAGACAAGGAGGGCAAAGGAGGAGAGAAGAAGAGGAGGAGGAGAGGACACGCACACACAAAAAAACCCTTCTCACATGGAGGTGTCCCAAATACAAAGTCTCAACACGTCACATATGAGCCACCTTTGCTCCGTGGCCTCCGCTCGCTGGCTATTGGCACAAAGAAACACACATACTCACACACATTTACACACACACACACACACACACACGTACACTTTCACCAGCGGAGAGGTGAGGGAGCTAAGCAGTGGCTGCTTATTTTTTTTAATTATTATTATTATTATTATTTTCCCCCCGGTTCCATAGAAACAGCGTTTTCTTCTTTCTCTTTTCAAAACAACCAATGGCGACTGTGTCCATGTTGTTTTTTTATCTCCTGTTTTTTTTTTTTTTAGAAAAGCCAACACGTCGAGTCGACCAGTCAAACACAAACGGTGAGAGCCAGAGACACAACTTTGAAATAACATCGACATGAAACCCAAACAATAATAATAAAAAAAAAGGAGAAGAAGGAAAAAGTCCAAGAGATACTTGACATTCTGCTGAGAGGGAGCGGGAGAGGGAGCGCAGCGGGCTGAAAACAGGCCAGCGGCTTCCTCGTCGGAGTCGACGGCGTGAAAGTCCGCAAAGTTTATTTCCCCCCCCCACCCCGCCCCGCCCTCGTGGACACAAAAAAAATAAAACAATGAGTCGCAGAAGCTGCTGAAGGGAGAGTAACAGACACTTCATTTGGCTTGGAGGATACTTTTAGGTATTCTGAGCATGTTTCAACTTTAAACAGACATTGACTTAACAGCGTACATAAAGAAAAACACAGCACATGTTGGCAGTTGTACAAAAAGAAGAACTTGAGTCATTTCATCTTTGTCATCAATTTTCATACAGTCAAATACAAACTCCTCCACTGGGTTAAAAAAAAAACAAAAACGAAAAAACGAAACATATCCGAACATCATCGTGTGCCCAACAAAGTCAGTTTAAGACGAGTGTGACACTTAAGCTTGAAACGTATCTCATTGTATGACGTCAGGTACAAAAACACGGCTGAGAAATGTCAGAAGGTCCAGATTAAACACTGGCTTCACACAGAAAAACATGGCTACAGCATTGGAGGCTTTGCGTGTATGTGTGTGTATGTGTGTTTGAAAAAAGCTCTCCACTGCCATCCAGTTTACACATAAGCCATAAGCATGTTTGAGCAACACAAAATAGCTTTATTAGTATGCACATGTGAACACATTGCACCTCTGAACACAGCGATGTTATTGCCCTCTGAGGTCGAGGTGCTGGGCACTAGTGTGTTTGTGCGCGAGAGAGAGAGAGAGAGAGAGACAGTGTGAGTGTGTATGTGTGTGTTTGTGAAAGCGTGGGAGCATCTAAAAGCAGAGGAGGAGAAAACACACACAGTCGCTCTGTTCATTCCTCCCGTGTCCGTTGGGTCAGTCTTAATCACAGAAACACAGAGTCATATGAAAGTAATCAGCATTTTTGTTGAGCGTGTGTGTGTGTGTGTGTGTGTGTGTGTGCAAGTGTGTGTGTTGGGAGTGCAAGCGGGTGTGAGAGACAATGTATGCCATTCAATGCAATCAAGAGGCATTTGTGACAGTCATTAAAAGGTGTGAAATTTGCGTTAGGTTGTGTTGGGAGGGCGTCAGAGTGTGTCAGAGAGAAGCGGGATTTTCTTTTGCGTGTGTGTGTGTGTGTGTGCGCGCGTGAGCGTGTGTGATACACAGAGATGCATTTCAACACAAATTTTGGCAGAAAAGAGGAACAAATCCAAAATGCGAGTCACAGTAGGCGTGTGTGTTTGTGTGTGTGGGGGTGTGTGTGTGATGAGATCTCTCTTTGTCGTGGTTAAGAGTTCAACTCCTCCAAAAAAATCCATTTTCGGCTGTAGGTCCGTCACCTCCATACGGGAGACTCTCCATTTAAAGAAGAGGTTTCTTTGCTTCACCGGCCACTCTTCCATCCCTCCTTTCCTCGGGATCCTTCATCTCGCGCTCCTGCCTCTCCCGTCCTCTTCTCCCCTCAGCCTCTTTTTCTTAAGTGTGCAATTCCTTCAGTCTTTCCCTCCCTCCCTCCCCACTAGCTTCCTTTTTTTTTTTAAGCTTCTGCATTCAGACGCCGCTTTTCTCCTCCACCCCAGGCAGCTCTCCTCTCTCTCTCTCTCACCCCTGTTCTTCCTTTATTCTTCTTCCCCACCATCCCCACCCCTAACTTCTTTTCGCTTCCGAAAAAAATAAAAAACATTTGAAAGGAAAAGAAAAAACTTTCATAGATGGTTCTACCTCAACACTTCCACAAACGAGGTCTAAACTTCAAAACTACGGCATAGTACAAGGAGCTATAAAAATATACACAGAGTTCAGAGACCCTAGAGGGAAGGGGGGAGAGGAGGAGGAAGGAGGGAGGGAGTGAATGAGAGAGGGAAGAGAGAAACGACCTCTGTTCACCGGAAAAATTAAACAAAAAACAAAAAAGGGATTAAATTAATATACAAAGGGGAGGTGGGGGTGGGTGGAGGGTAAACAAGGTCATTCTAAGTTGTGAAAAAGAAAAATAGATAAAAACAAAAAAAGATGTCTAGCAACAGAAGTGTAGTTTAAACAGAGTGGGTAAAACAAAACAATAGAAAACGAAAAAAAAACATCTAGAAATTATTTACTGGATATTCATATATATAATCTATAAGTGTCAATAGCGATAAAAAATCTCACTTTTTTTGATATTCGCTCACTATTTTGTGTTTTGGTATTTAAGACAAGTCTAAAGAACGCACGCATTCGCACAGTCACCCTCGCACAAAGCGTGCGCACGCACACACACGCACACAGACTAAACCCCACGCGCGCATATGCAAACTTGCCGTACTTGAAGCACACTAACTGCACGCACACGTCTAATGTGGAGCAGCAGCACCGCCATGATTATTGACCGAGTTCGTAGCTCGCTCTCACAGTCACACGCATTATTAAAATATACAAGATTCTGAGAGTCACCGATTGGTCAGACCTTGCGTAGAGGCCCTGGCTCGGTCATGTGACCGCCGCTCGGACGGTGCTGATCGGGCGAGTCCGAGGCCCCCCTCTTCCCCCCGCGTTTTCTCAGGAGAAACAAACACATACAAACTAGCATCCTATTATTGAGTTAGTGGTAGGGGCCGGACTCTGATTGGCTGATGGAGTTCTGCGGTGCTAAGTGGGGGTCAGGGGAGTAGTTTTTCTTGCTGTTCTTGTCCTTTGCGTTCTCCTTTTTCCTTCTTCAAAACATCACATTTCCCAACGGCAGATCCCTACCCCGTTAAAAAAAAACAAACAGTGTGTGCTGCACATGCACACTGGCGTTTAGGGGAGGACTCTTCAATTCAGCATGTGTGGGGGGGCTCATTTAGCTCTGAGTTAACAAGAAGGGGGGGCAGTCAGAGCCTATTGCCTATTCGCGAGGGCCTTGTTAACAAAGGCTATGCACGGTTACGACATTGCCCTTTACACACACTTGGTTGTGTGAGAATGGGGTGGGGAGGCTTACTCGGCTAGAAACACAATTGTGGCCAGGGGTGCAGGCTCACAGGGTAGTGAGTTGGGGGTGTGGGGGGGTCGGAGGGGCAATACTGGCAGTATTGAGGGGATCAGGGTTGGAGCTGTGATGGATAGCTTTGCTGTGGCTTCATTTGGAGCAGGGATGTGGGGAGGAGGGATTGGTCGGTAACGGGTGGAGGGAGACGGGTGCGTCCAGTTGGCCGGAGCAAAGGCCACCTCATACTTTGTAGTAGATGTTGGCTGGGCTCTGAGGCGGCATCTCCTGGACAATGTAGACAGGGTGTCCGTAGTCCCCGCTCACCTTCTCGTAGTGCGGGCAGTAGGCCGAGTCTGACGTCCGCAGAGGGATGATGATGTCGCTGGGCTCGGAGCCGTTGTTGTTGGAGCTGGTGATGCCCCCGCCGCCTCCCCGTTTGGGGCTGGTGAGGGAGGACAGCGACAGCGGAGGGTGGTGGGTGTCCGAGTGCTTGGCGTGCCGCCTCCTGTAGCACACGACGCAGATCACGGCGGTGACCAGCAGGAGAAAGGCAGAGCCTCCCGCGGCGCCGGCGATGAGAGCGATGTTGGAGGGTTGGAGAGGCCCGTTCTCACCTCTGCCTTCTTCCCCGAAGGGTCCTCGAGGCTGGCTGGAGTTCCCCGTGCCGCCTGAAACGAATCACAGAACAATCTTTACTTCCGGTAGCACAAGCTGCTCCCGGCGCCGCACAATTCATCACGACCAATGCACCGGAGCAATAACACGGCTTGCTCTCACAACTTGCGTTTTCACGAGCTTTTAAATAAACATACCATTCCTTATGGCTCTGTACCACAATAGCATGAGTAATGACGATGGTTCAGCCCAAACTAGCAGGCATAAACCAGTGGAATGCAGCAACTCTCGCAGAAGCTTATATGTGGTCTCTTTATTGATGTGATGGAGTGGACAGCAGTCCCTATAAAGCAGCGAGGAATGTCCGCAGTGAGTGCGAGTGTACTGCGCAGTATATACTCTTGCGGACAGCCTGGCTGAGCCGCAGTGTGTATCAAGGTAATACACTCTATTTCCCTAACCTTAACAACTGTATTTACTTAGCATTACAGCCAGCCACATGAAGAGATCCTCCCCCCTCCGCTGCCACCACCAGACCACACACTCGGCCTGCCCGCTGGCCTCCCTGCCCGCCCGTCTGTCTTTTTTATCTGTCTGTCTGTTTATCAAACTGTCTGTCACACTCGGGTCCCGTTGCTCCCTCTGTCTGCCCCGCGTCTCGCCTGAAACCTAAGATCTTCACAGCCTCGGAGCTCGCTGTCTTGCCCGCGGGAGGTCGGGTCAGAACTCAGCAGGTGAATGATGGTGTGGAGGTGTGCGAGTGTGCGTGTGCATTTATAAAAACAGGGCTGATACGGACTGCTTTGGCACTGGGCATGTGTATGTGAGTTGCGAACTGGTTAAGGCAGGTAATGTGAGTCTTTGCTATATAGGGCCTCTGGATTGGTCTATCATTATTCTTGGCACACATCCCTCTCTGTTCTCTCCGTCTGTCTCTCTCCGGCGTCTCCTCCGTTTCCTCGCCCTCCCCTCGCTCCGTGGTTCTTTCTATCTTCGGGTTATTGTAGCCGTAATGACCCACCTTGCTCTGAGCTCAGCACCTTGCAGCACAAACACACACAAAGGCGCACACACAAGCGATACTGACGTACACATCCAAGCAAACACACCTCATCCCCTTTCCTCCCCCCTGCTGCGAGCCCCCCTGCCGCGCTGGACTGACTGGGAGCAGAGCACTAATGCCAGAAGTCGATTACACTCCCCGCTCCTCCTTCCTCTTTCTTCCTCCCACCATTAACCCAACATCCCTCATTCTCCGTCTCCATTATGACTGCCGCCGCTCACCTGCTCTCCTTATTATATCCTCTTCCTTCACCTCTCCTTCTGCACCTCTCACTCCCCTTATTTTTGCACGTCTCCTTCCTTTCTTCTGTGTTAATTCTTTTTTTCTAAATCACACAAGTTCAGACTCCAAGGCCTTATTTTCCGTTTTTGTTTCCATCTATTTCATATCATTAGCGGATTCCACCTCGGAGAGAAACACGCAACAGGTCAGAAATGAAAGAACGGGTCAAGGTGTCGTATCATCCTTGCTTCTGAGCCAGCTGTCACATTTCAGAGAGGAGTAATTGGTCTCATATTCGGTTTTTTAACATATTTTTGGAGCTGTTTTCGAACACTCGCCACATTAGTTATGTTTCCACCGGGCTGCCGCACAAATGCAAATTTCAGGCATTTTGTCAAACTAAAGTGTGAATGAGCGCGTGCTTCCATCAGAAACCTTTTATATGAATACATTCAAGAGGATGTGACAAAATTACATAATTCCTAGAGCAGCAGTAACTCATGCATTATGGCATCTCATTGCTGCTCCCCACATAAAATGCTCTTCTTTTTTTTAAAAAACAGAATTAATTTGTCTCTTTCGATCCATTTGTACTTGGAGGATGTGCACCAGAGCCCTTCGTATAGAATCACATCAGGAAATTTGAGGTGCCACAAAAAAAGAGAAAAGCAGGTGAAAGGAAAAGCGAAAGCTTGCGGCTTGGCAACGGGAGCGGAAATTCAAATCATGTCCTTGTCGTAATCAGTGGCTTAGATGGGTGCACATTAGGACTGTAATGCAAAGCTATAATCTGAATCTTTACTCGTATTTTGTTTATTTCGTGCAAATAACTGGAATGGGTGAGTCTTAGCTTCTCTCTGCTTTGCAAAACAAATTTGATGAAATAGAAAAAGTTGGGATGCTGTGTTAAATGTAAATAGAAACAGAATATATTGTTTTGCAAGTCAGTCAAACAATATGATATTATATGAAAGATCAGATCACAGTTTCTCAACACCTTAATCCACCTTAAGTGGGCTCAGGCTGAGAGAGGGTGTATTTTTCCCTTTGTACAGTACTTGAACTTTCATTCGTGGGTGCAGCGATGCCTCGTCTGTCACCTGTTTTTAACGCTAAATGCCTAACAAGCATGATCGTCCCACATTGTTCTTTGCACCGAGAAACTTCTCTGGATGTTTTCATATTGTAAACCACACATGATTAAATCTCTTTAGAAATAGTCTTAACCCTCTTCTATCCTGTCTTCCTCACCCTCACCTCCAACCAGTGGTGGCAGATGGCTACCTCTCCTTGAATCTGGCTCTACAGGTTTCTTCCTGTTAAAAGGGAGTTTTTCCTCCCCGCTGTCGCCAATTGCTTACACACAGGGGGTCGTCTGATTGTTGGGTTTTGCGCATTATTGTAGCATCAGCGCTCAGTGGACTGCTGTTGTGATTTGGTGCTACATAAATATAACTGAACTAGATCGTTGTTTTCAAACCAACCATGATACTGACCTTTTTTTTCAAGGTAGATGCTCCATGAGGTGTTTACTGTTACACAACTGTTCCTGTTTTTTTATGCCTCATTTTTTCCAAACATGTTGCTGGCTGTTGTCCTCTTACTACTTTCACATACAAAATATTATTTATTTATTTTTTTTACTTTTGAACATTTCAGCACTTTGCATCAACAAGAATCATGATTCATTTGGTTCCTCTTCAAACTACCTAGAAAATAATGATTTTAAGTCTCCTGTTCTCTGACTTGGAATCCATTTATAGACGTTTATCCTCAGCGGACATCTGTAATGAGTGATGGTTTTGATTCGAGTGAGTTGAGTTTGTGGATGACAGAAAAAAAAGCAAACAATCCTTTCGTATCTATTCAGAGAGCATTTCTTGTTCATATCCCAATAATGTATTTCTATTTGTTTACATCCCAAGAGAGCCACGCAAACACAATGAGAAACTGTGAATAAGCAACAGTATTCCAATTATTAGCTGAGATGATTTCGAGCGTATTCACACGAGGATTAGAAATTCTGGCATAACTGCTGTGTCGAATGTCATAACAATCATTTTTAGATATGCGGTTAAGTGCGTGTTAATATGTCCTTGCCTGAAAGTCAAAAATGTGTAAAATCCCTCTTAGGTGTGCGATTAAATCATCCTCGCCGTCGTGCTTCGCCGCTCTCATTCTAGCACAAACAATGCATACTATTGTTGCTGATTCACACATACACTTCTCACCTATATGAGGTATGGGCAAGTGATTGGGAAATGTGTGAATGGTCCAATTCCCACATCTGGTATAGTACGCAAATTCGCCCAAAAAAGAAAAAAAAGAGAGAGAAGGAGAAATGAACACAGCTCAGAGTGAATCGTGTTCTTTCCCCTTCACTGAATAACTTTGAGGTGAAGCATGAATGTTGCCTCTCTCCATTTTCATCTCCTTGTTCTCTTCCCCTCTCCTCTTTGCTTTTCAATTATTCTTTTCTTCCTTATGTGCCTCCCATTTCTACCCACTCCGTTCTATCACTCCCCTGCCTCCTCTTCTCTCTTCACTCCGTCTCTCATTCTTTCTAGACAGAACTACGGTGCACACTACCCCCCTCGCCCCCAAACTAATGACAATAATAACTCTGAAATGTCGTCGCTGCTCTCTCTCCCTCTGTCTCTCTTCCTCCTCTTGCCTCTTTCTTCCTCCCTCACTTTTTCTTGTCCTTCTCCCAAGGTAGCTATTAGCCATCCATTCCCCGCCCGCAGCACTTAGCTCGAAGGGCCGGGTGCAGAGACGAGGAGGAGAGGGACAGAGAGTAGGGGGGAGAAGGAGAGAGTGAGAGAGAAATATGGAATTAAACAGAGAGATCCGCAGATGTCACCGCTGCACATTCTCCATCTGTCGCCTCCACCCTCCCCTCTCCCTGCTGCTTTTCTTTTTTATCTAGCAGTCTTTGCTTATTCCCTCCATCCATTTTGTGGATGGATCTGCTGTGGATTATCTCTATTTGATTTCCTGCTTACCTGGGTTTTTGCTGGTGGTGCGTCCCGCTGCCGGCTCCTTCTTTGGAGGCAGTCCATATGGGCCTTGGGAGGAAAAATAAGCGAGGAATTACAGAAATACCGAGACAGCCTCCATCTTCTGCAACAGCCAAAGCTCTCTGATTCGAAACCAATAAGCGACATTAGCAAAGAGAGAGACAGCCAGCCAGAGAAATAAGAGACAGAAGAGGTTTAATAAAGGACCCCCTTCCCTTCCCATTATAGGGGAGCACATATTGACTGGGCTTCGACGTGCTGCGTATGAGCACTTTTCCATTTGTTTGAATGGGAAACTAAAGAGAGGTCGTTTGTTGTTTTGGCCTGAGCGAATTTACACAAGGCCATAACGGCTTGTAATCTGTAGTCGCTAAATCAGGCCATCTGTCTCGCAAGCCCTCAGTAATGGTGATGGCATTAAAGTGAGTTTATGTGACACATGCAAACACGGGCACAAGCGTGCACACACATCTACATGCTAATGCGGCCGTTGTGGGTATAAGTGCTACTCCTCGAAGCTGAAAGAGATGGTTCAGAAAATACTAATTTTGTTAGCTTCTGAGCCATCTGTCCAACAGTGGGCTGCAAGAACAGAGTTGCACTGGGCTGTTGAGTTCAACATTTCGTGCAACATAAAATGACCGCAAACTTACAGTTAATCAAGCGCGGCATTAAATCAGGCACCCCGCAAAGTCGAGCTCAGCTGCAATCCCAGCAGGTCAGCTGATCTAAGTGCCGGCCCCCATCAGCTGATAGCTCTGCTGATACACTTCTACACGCCTAGCTGGCTGTCATATGTAGGGCTTGATATTGAAGCTTCTTTAGCTTGCTCACAATTACATCTGCAAGCTGCTTTGCAACCCACCCCCACCCCAGTTCCTGTTTTTGTGCTGTGTCTGATTTAATCATTGTCGTATCTATTGTCTCTCAGCTGGGGGTCTACTTTCCAGTACACACAAAGTATACACATTTGATTGACGAGCGAAAGGCTGATAATTCAATTCAGTTCCACCCAGGGACACAAATTCCCGTTGGGGTTGTGTCAAGAAGGGCATCTGGTGTAAAACTCATATGAAGATGTGTTGCACTATCTGCTAAGAACTCGTGATGAATTCTGATGCACAGTTTCAATATTAACATTAATGTGCTCTGGGATGACACTGCAACCGTCCAATAATGCTGTAGTGATGTCATAGCTTTGGGACTGGGAAGTACAATAATGAGAGCTATCCACTTTACTGTAGATGGAAATAACAACCTGCTTTTGACTATAGTAGTCCTGCCTGTACAGTGGTCAAGCACAGCCATCAACCCATATGTGCTGACATTTAGAGAAGGGTAAGGATATTGGCTGGCGGCTCCCTCTTGACAATAAACCAAACAGAGGTTCGGGGTGGTGCCGGCTGGATCAATAGGAACTGCTGTTTGGTCAGCAGGGGCTCGTAGAAGGAGGTTCGGGCTGTGTGCGTGTGAGAAAGTGTGCATGTGACAGATTCAGAGAGCAAGCAAGATATATAAAGAATAAAATACGAGGCGACAGCTCAATGTATATGTGTGGGTTTTTGCAAGTGTGGGTCCCTCGAAGCGGAGCAGAGCGCCATATCTCATCAGAGATCACCACGAGGCGGCACGCCGCTTATTTAGACGACAAACAACACAGACGTGACCTTTCAGCCACACAGCAGATAACATGAGGAAAACAGAGGAAAAGAGTGAAAATAAGGAGAGATGGCCGGCATGCAAAGCGGAATGGGGTGATGAAGACAGGGGAAAGGGGGAATTTGAAAGGAAAGGAGGCAAGGAGTGTCGCAGGGAGTAGTTTGAGTGAGGAAAGGAGCGAAGTGGGAAAAATTGTTATAAAAAAATTATTAAAATTTTTTAAAAAGAAAATGAAGAAGAACAAAGAAAAAGGTGTGTGTGCATCTTCTTCACAGAGCTGTGGTTTGTATGTGTGTCAAAAGGAAGGTAGTTTTTCCATCGCCTGTGTGGTGAAAAAGCCAGGGGAAATAAAGAGTGTGTGTGTGTGTGTGTGTGTGTGTGTGTGTGTGTGTGTG